TTATGGTTTATTAAATGTAATTAAAATAAATAATATCAAGAACTTGTATTATTATATTAAAAACATTCATTGTAAATAAGGAAATTATGTAAATAAACCATAAAACCATACAAAATTTTCCTGCGACCTCTATTCAAAATCCCAATTTACCAATAGGAATTAAGGCACAAAGATGCTTCACTGAATTTATTACCGAGTTTTCAAGAAAAGTGTGCTTATAAATAAGCCTATAAGCGTCTACTGGATTAAAACAACAAATAATAATCATAATTTATTTGTTTTATTTGTTCATTATAATAATCCTATTTATTTACCAGAAACTTCTAAATGAAATAATATCTGGTTGACGAGAAATATCCGCAAATTTGTGTTATATGTTATAGGTTATAGGCTCATCTGGAAACGTTTTCGGTAAGTAGGTATCAATGGAATAATGCGATTAGGTATACTGACCGTTTTAATGAGTGCTCGTCCAATAGTGCGTAAACTAAAATATTTGGTAAATTTTCTTGGAAGAGTTTGTTTCTTCAATGAAAATTTATGGTTTTTAACTCTTCTTTCGCTTGAAAGTCCCGTCATGTGAAAATAGATTATTTGATAACCTGTTTCGTAATAATTGTAAATACGAACAAAAGCATATTTGCATATTCTAAACAACTGGCCATATCGATCCCAAACTTGTACAGATATGTTTTTAATGTTTCTGCTTTCAATGAAATAAATTTTATTTGCAAAATACTGAATGTCTAACGACATATTACGCATACATATATATGTAGGTACCACCCCATTTACTATATTTTCAATCTGTGCATTTTTCGTTTCATTCGTAGGAGCCAGGTAAGAAGTATCAGTGAGACCGGCGGTCTTTCAATAGCTCGTAAATGAAGAGATTTATATAGTGAAGTTTACTAGAACAGTCTGTCTCTTCAATGAAAATTTTAGTTTGTTAACGTAATTAGGTGGGTAGAATTTTAAACCGGATCGACATTTTTACTATGAAATATAGATACAATACGCTATATTCCTTTCTCGCTGCAAGACACAACAAATAAAAGAATAGTTTCTAAAGCTGTTCCATTTTTCCACTGTTTGTTTTCTTTGAGATACGAGTAGTTCTTGTGCCGAAGTGAAACCCCAAAAAGTCTAAAGTCCGGAAATCACAGTGAATTTTAAAACACATAAAAACGACTTCTTTATTTATTTAAATATTGTCCTATAACGTCCTGCGACGTGGAATGGAGTTTCTTAATGTACAAAAGTATGTTAGATAATAACCGAAAAATTTTCTTGGTTAAAATTAAAGGAAACACAATTATTACTTGGAATAAAAATAAAGAATATCAAGAGCTTGTGCTATGTATTAAAAATATTTAATTTAAATAAACAAATTATGTTAGTAAACCATAAAACCACAAAAATGTTTTTTAACACAAATTATATTTCAATAAATTTTCAGTAGCGAGTTATCGATATACTTAATTGTATTTACATTTTACATCATAAAATGTGAAAGAAAATGTCTTATTTTTGACTTTATGCGGCATATGTTACCCGTTTTGTAAGATATATATGACTGCATATCTATGTTTTGTCTTTAGTATATATCTGCCCGTCTCTAGTCTAATAAATTTTCTAAAAAAAATATAGTAAGTTTTGAGAAAACGCATTTAAAAGCATTCTCCTTTGTATTATTAGTAACAAAAGCGAGCACACGAAAGCGTAGAAAAAATTTCCAATATGTTATTTACATTTATTTTACTTCATACTGTGTCAAATTTGACTTTTTACTGGATTCGAAGGAGTCCGGTAAAATAAAAAAAATTGGTCTAAAGAGTTTAGACAGTACTTCCCTCGCTGTCGGAAACTTGACGACTGCATGCCTATTGTGTTTTTTTTCTCATTACATTTTTGTAGTGGGAATTTAAAAAAAAATTGCGATGACGTCATCAACATTTTTGCAAGGACACGTATATCAGTTGGGATAGATGTAGTGTAATACTAAGAATAAAATTATTATATTCTCAAATTTTCGGGAAAATGAATTGGGTCGTTTTGAATATTGATTTGTAATAATCAATAAAATAACGAAACAATAATTTACTCACGTATACGTATCAGAGGCAACTGAAAATCATGTATGTATAAACATTCTTAATTTAAGATGACAGGCGTAACAGCATACGTGAGAGTCAAACAGAGAAACTGTAAACAAAACGACCATCGGTTTTATTGCTTCGACTTCCGCTTATTATATAAAACATTATTATCTTTAAAAACGTGATTAATGTGTTAGTGAGATGTAATTAAACACTTTGCAATGTGATTTATGTATTTTTTGTAATAAAACGTAAGCTCGGGAAACCTGCTTTTGAATTTTATACATAAATTTAGTTCGCTTAAGGCCCAATTCTGAATCGAACCTGTTAAAATTTAAAGGTTGTTAAAAAATAAACAGCCAATCAGATTAACGAATTTAACTCGTTACTATGTAAATTTGCAATTTAACACCCTTTAAATTTAACAACTTTGATTCAGAATTGCCCCTTTATTAAGCTTTTTTTTAATTTTTGGAGCATATGCAACTGCATATCTCTGCATATATTAAGAAAGTTACTGCATATTTGCATAAATTTGGTGCATATCATATGATCATATTTCTCAAAATTTTGCTGCATATTTTCCGCTCTCTACTCATCATATTTTGTACATTTTAGATATGATTTATTCAACAAACTTTTGAGCTGACGTCATCAAGTTTTTGGAGGGGATAAGCAAATATTTTTTGACTAAAGATTTATGATGCTCTTTATAGCCTTAAAATATCTGCAACATTTCAAAGCATTCTGGTTAGCAGATTAAAAATTAAATTTCAAAATGTTGTTTTATAATTTTGATTTTTTTTCCAAAAATCTGGACGTTTCGGGTGAAAAGTCGATTCAGAGTTGTAAACTACATGTGTAGGACTATGTTATTTTATACAATTGAAAACCCATTTACTATGTACAATTTTGAAGTGACGTCATCGCATTAGTGGTGGGGATGATTAGACAAATTTTGGTTAGCGTTTTACCATCTACATGATATTCTTAATATAAGTACAAAATTTCACAACAATCGGTCGAGTACTTTCGGAGATTATCTGTCTATTAAAAATCCGGGACAACAGACGGACAGACGGACAGACGGACGGACAGACGGAAATGGGAGACCTATTTCTTCGTCTTCTAGGGGTCATGAAAGATCGAGAAAACGTAAAAGTAGAGAGTCGGCCGACGGACTCGATTACAATACTTCCTTTGCTTACGCTCGGGAAGTAAAAATTGATCCACCTGATGCATCGAAAGTAAAATTCACGGTCAACAATTGAAGAAATGCATGGCCGGCTCGTTAAATAATGGGGGGGGGGGGTAAAACTGCGCCAAAAAAATTCGTTTTTGAAAAAATACCAAATAGATAAATGTTTTCTGTTGACGAGTTCTGTTCGTGGTTAAATTTAATGTACTTTTTTCTGTAACACGTTTTATATAAAACTGCAGAGCATGGAAATTTACGTTCAATTAAAATTATACAACAAAGAAAATTACCGAGGTCAAAATTGTGAGATAGAGAAATATTGTATGAGGTGAAAAATTGCAAAGCTAACAAAATTTACATGAGATTATTATTTGCCACACTTTATCAACGATTCAAACAAAGAGTTTACATTATGTTAAATTATGTCTTGATCCAAGTGATTGGTTACTTAAAAACAATTAGGTAGCTTTGAAAGTTTGTAAAATCATGAACTGCTTACCCCAAACAAAACACATGGTAAATATCCAGTCATCTTTGCGAGGAAAATGCGTATCGGTGATGTAAATTTTAGTGTTGCGAGGAAATGCCTCGGTGATGTAATTAATCTTTAACGTTTCGAGGAAATGCCTCGGTGATGTAATGATGATAACGATGATACCTAATAACGATGGTAACTGTCTAAGGAGAAAAATCCCCCCCGTCAGTTCACTTAACAAAATTATGAATTTTGTTAAATTAACTGCCGTTAATGAAGTATTAGCGATCTTGTGTGAGAAATTACGAAGTGTCATAATGTAACACTAAAGTACATACAGGAACTTATTCATAATTAGACAAACAAAGTCAAACGAGTCCTGACTAAGTGAATTTCATGAAAACTCCTAGCAAATGTCTGTTACATTGTGTTAGAACCAGTTAACGATTAAAATCCTAACCTGATCGGTGAATTTACAAACAATAAAACAAATTTATAACACGTGTAGCATGGGTCAAAAATTAGAAAGCCGCAAGAATTAGCTGCGCGTGTTGAGGAAAACTGGACGCCATCGGCGTTACGATTAATTTTCGTTAAACAAAGGATTCCTCCCTTTTATTAACTACAAAACCAACTAATTTAACCTAGCTAACTTGCAGCGTCTTTTCACCATACTCACACACAAGAAACCAAAACAATAATGACCCTCTAACTAAAATCCCTCAGCGAGCTACCAAGTACCAGAAAAAGAACTGAACGTGCACAAGGCCTATGTTTAACGATTTTTTTGATTGAATTTTTTTTCAAATTCAAATTATTCAAATGTGATTTCGAGCTGCTGTTAATTAATTTCAGCGCGAAAATTTGATTCAAATTCGGTTACCACAACACATTTTTTTTTCTATACTTAGTGCAGGAAACTCTAGATTTATCTGTTCATTTTAGGCCTAGTTTTTTATCGCATGCCTGTGTAATTAACCCATCTTTTTTAATCCCGTAACGTTACGCCACTGGTAAAACGCTCACGCCAGGTGTTATTGTCTTTTCTTTTCTCGTGTAAGCTATGAACCCATTTTAAACTAAAGGGCATCGCCTCTGATTTTCTCTGATGGCTCTTGAGTGGAGATCTTTTGTCGGCGTGATTTCAAGATTCATTGTTACCAATTTAAACTTGAATGGTCATCCGAGGCAACCAGAGAAAAGCGTTTTGGGATTTTGGTTTTATTATGTTTCTAGGGAATTTGGGGGAAATTTACTACCAGTTACCAAGCGTGGTTGTCTATACCTTGCGGTTTTAACCTGTGGTTTTAACTTAACCACAGAAATTCATAATACCGTAAGTTATAATTATTATTAGTTTTGTCTTGCACTGTGAGATTGTCTTTGTAACAGACTTTCATACCTTCAGAAAAAAAGGCAAATATAATATCCAGATAGTCACAAAGGAGAAAAATAAATAACAAACGAAATGAGTGATTATGGAGATTCTTTCTCATCTACCAGCAGCGATAATAAAGGCGACAAAGAATTGCAAGAGTTTCTCATGGTAGAAAAACAAAAGGCACAATTCAATGCACAGGTAAAGTATGCTTATATCAAAGCCATAATTTATTAATGAATGCTCTCCATGTCTAGATTCATGAATTCAATGACTTTTGCTGGGACAAATGCGTTGAGAAAACAGGGAACAAATTGGATAGCAAAACGGAAACTTGTTTAACAAATTGTGTCGATAGGTTTATTGATGTTTCTCTTTTAATAACGAATCGTTTCGCACAGTTGCTACAGAAGAGTGCTGGTGTTTAGTGAGAAACAGCATGATTATGTTAGAACCAGACGTTTTATAGTGTTTGAAATAAATAAAATTTTGTTTTCGTCGTTGAGTTCTTTTTTAATGAGTGTAGTCTTGAAATTTGCACAACTGTAAGGGTTATTTGAGGTTAAGTTGAAAGTGGGCGTTTGACATGTTTTGATTTTTGACAGTGTAAAAGTACTTTCTTTGAAGTACTTGGTACAAAAAGTTTAGGAACGCTGCATGGACTGCAACCAGCAAAATCTAGCATTGTTATTTTGCTCTTTCTACATTTGATGGTCTCCTTGGGAATAGGGAACAGTGAACAAATAAAAATGTCAACGTTGAAGACAACGCCAAGAAGACCAATTTCATCACTAGTTTCTTTGTAACATTGTTTAGAATGTTAATAATAAGAATACTTTCGATTTTCTTTTAAGGTCCATTGAGTATGTTGCCAAGAATGTGTTCTCCTATGCTGGTTATCTGAAGTTTCTACCACCATACATGAAAGAAAAAATTTTACAAAGACTTGTCAGAAAAAGCACGTTTTCTGGTAATTTAGAATTCAATAAAATACTAGAAGAACTAATCCATCCAAATTTAAAATGTATTGACTTTTCATCAATAAATGTCAATGATGATACACTAAATGCGATGAACGTCTGTAGCATGTTAACTGATCTAAATCTTAGAAATTTTGGAATTCATGAATATACCAGTGAAGGTAACATTTGAACTCTGAGAATATCAAAGTGTAAAAACATGAATTTTAGGTCTGACAAAACTTTTTCAACAGATGCCAAAATTGTTGGTACTAGACATATCCCATTGTGAAAAATTTAATGACTGTGTATTAGAAACGTTATCCATTCACTGTACAAATATTAGTGAACTTCATTGTGAAGGTTGCAACATAACTGACAATGGCATTATTGCATTGGCTCAGCATAACTCTGTGATTAAATGTTTAACAATCTCAAATACTGATGTAATGCTGCACACATTTTTTTATGAATGCCTACTGTGTTTTTAGGTTACAGGGAAAGGTATAAGCGAAGCTATCAAAGACGAAAATTGGCCTTATTTACACGAACTGCGGTTAGATAACTGCACCAAAGTTGATGATAATGTTCTGAAGATGGTTATTGAAAACTGCCCAAAAATAGAAATTTTAACTTTTTATAACTGCGCCATCACAGGTTGATTACTCAAATTTACCAACATTTACCTAGTAACACATTTTTTTAGATCAGACTACAATATTTCAAGACATAACAAACACTTGCAAAAAACTGAAGCAATTATACTGGACAATCAGCTGGTAATAAAACGAATTAATTTATATTTTATATATCTTTTATTATTTATACATTTTATGTAATAACTGCGTAAATATAAAATGAAATCTACATTAGATTATTTAATTTCCTCTTACAGTAAGTTTAGTTCTGGTTAAAACTCTTTAAGCCTTGTTGTTGATGGGGATTGGTGATTGCTTCAGTTGTAGAACAATTGAACGCATACGGGACACATCTTTGTTGCCTTGTTTAGCTTTGGGATTAAAGTCGCACAACTTTGCGATTCTTTCCCACTCTGTACCTGGCTCGATTTCATCATCTTCAGCGACGAATTGTTTCTCAGCATTTCTACAGAGAAAGTGCACTTTTAAATATACATCTTACGCGTATTAAAATACACAAGAGTACTAAAATCAGTTTTGAAATTTAAATCATTCTCAAAGCCCTCATTAAGCAGAAACTTAAAAGAATAAAAAAAATATAGAATAACAGAATAAAATAGGTAATTAATTAGTTTTGCATTATAGCAATAGTGTTCTCTATGTTTGTAGATTTATTAAATCAATTGCCAAACTAAGAAAACTAATACTTACTTTGCTGCATCTCTATGATTGCATGTTGTAACAGTTTCATCAAAAAATTGAAATTTTTATCAAGGAAATCATCTTACCTATTAGCAGCTTTAGTTTTTGCTATAGCTTCTTCATGATTTTTGTACCAGTCTTCCAATTCTTTGCGTGCTACTTCACGAAGTTCCAATTTTTTCCTTTCTTCTTCTTCATCTAATTATTAAATATTACATTAATTCCTACATATTTTCTAAATATAACTAACCTTTCTCTTCCAAACGTTTAATTTGCTCCTCTCGCCATTTTTTTATCTTTTCTGGTTCTTCTCGAACTTCCCTGTTGAGAGGTGGGGGTGAAGGTGACACTAGAAAAAATGTTAGATTAAAACAACAGTCAAGATGCACTACTAGCACTCTCTAATAAAAATAATTTGAACTGATTAAATTCATTCTACATTAAACAGAACTATACTGAGAAAAGCAAATACATTGTCATTGAATTTCAACTTACCTCCTCTTAATAGGTCATGTTCAGGTTTCAAAAAGGCATCAGCTAAAGGAAGAAAAAGATATTAAGTGGCATGCATAACTGACAATAGAAATGTTAAATCAAAGTTTTCCTTAACCATTTGCATCATTATGTTGACTAAAGAAAATGTTCAGAAAACATGCACATAGGTCAAACTTAAGACAGATAACCAGCAGCAAAAGTAAGAGTAAAAATTCTGAACAAGAAACTTACTGTTTTACTTTTGTTAAAATGCGCTAGAGTATTTATTTCTGATAAAAAGTAAGAAAAAAGTAAGTCTGTAATACTTGTCGTGTAATGGATCTTTTTAAGAAGTAAATTAGTAGGTACTGGTAATTATTCTATTAATAATGATTTGAAAAGCAAAAGAAAAAAACTCTACCCAATTTTGAAACTAATGCAAATAGCGCTTAGATAATTTCCACACTTAGCCTGTCCTGATAATGTTATGTGTTGGTATGAAATACTGTAATCACCTAGTATCATTTATATGAACATGCAAATCCCTACTGCATTATATCAGTTATATTTAAAATTAACATCTGAATTATTTTTAAAAACTACTGAAATTTTCTATAACTTCAAAATCAATAATTTCACACATACCATCAAAATCTTCTCTCTTTAGTGAAGTTCCATCTTCAAACCCTTCAACCATTTCGAAACTGCTTGCAGAATTGGTTGGGTCATCTACAGGTAAAGCGATAAACTTAAAAATACAACATCAACTAATAACAATACATGCAAAATAGAGGACATTAAATAAAGTAACGTGCTTTAGATTTGTTTGATACGCCCCCCAATTTCACTTACCTCCGTTTACAAGAGGAACGGACATTGCTGCGGCGGGTTTAACTTCATCTTCCAAACCTGCCAAATCGTTTTGCTCACGGGCCAGAAATTCTGCGGCTGGATCCACATCTGGTTGATCAAAAGCATCAAAGTTAGACATTTTTTAGTTATTAAAAATTACAGCGCTGATGAATCAATATTTTAATTTGTTCTTGAACTGTCAGATGATGACTTGATGACAGAATTGACAGATGACGTTACGAAACCAAAATTCCCTAGAATATCATAATCAATCGGGTGAGTTTCAAAAAACGATCCCCCTACTCTAATTATACTCTAACATGGAAATCTTCCCCAGGGCCCCTTCCTAATGAATTCTGATTAAATTCGTAGTGTCACAATGCATTTTCGTTCTTCGAAAATAGCCTAATAGATGGCTAATTTGATAGTTAAATCAGTTCAGTTATAGCCTCTAGAAATACATTTTTTCTAGGGGTTGTAAGTTCAGTAAACCTGGAATTCAAATTAGGGCGCTTTTGACTTATTTATTTAAAAAATGTTGCTCAAAAACAAAGTAAGTTTTCGATTTCTGAATACAAAAAAGTGACACTTTATGGATATGATTGGGGACGTAAAACGACCTGCGAGTGGTCAAACTTTTGTAAAAAATATTCCAAAAAGTTCATATATAAATTATTTCTTAATGTATTCATTAAGAGAAAACACCTTTATTTTAAAACATGTAGAAACAGAAAAATAAAAATAAAAAACGTAACACTAAACATTACCGTAAAGTTGCAAATAGAAGTATAACATAAACAAAACATTTATCCATCTTATTTAATCAACAAACAGTTGGAACATTCATTACATTCTACAAGACACTCCTCCTCTTCTATGTACTCCTGGTATATCACAAAACTGCTTCCACATCTACATGGATAATTCATCAGATTTTCTTTGTTGAAAATCAAATCACTCTTAGCTAGTTGTGCAAACACCACTGCACTATCAAATTCTGCTTGTGTTTGTAAATAAGTATCATACTGCGTTCGTAACTTTTCATCTCTCAATGTTTTCCATGCTTTATCGATAGTTATAAAATGGTTGGGAGATCCAGCACATTTATCAGGGTGATATTTTCTTATCAGTACTTGATAATTTTGTTTCAGTTCCTTGTACGAAGCAGATTTGTCGCAGTTAAGAACAGAATAGTAGTCGACATCATTTAGTTTGTCCGTCATTTTTAAAGAAAATTATAGACTCGTGGTATCTGCAGTTTGACTTCAGGCACAGCATCTACAACAAATATTGTAAGTTGTTTTCCCTTTTTTGCGATAAATATTCTACTAACTATGCTATTTTATCTATTTAACTACACAAGCAGCTAATGTTCACAAAATTGAACATTAAAACGCAGTGCTGTTGAACACGAAAATGAAACTCGTTAAATTCTAACCTATGTTTTTTCTCTTATCTGTCAAAAGGTGGTCAAAATTGTCAAAAGTGTCTACAGATAGATGGGAAACATTTTATCCGACATGCACTGTCATAATTTAAAATGTGATAATAATATTAGTAGTATTTTCGTTTTCTCTCAGAAAAATTAATGTCAATTGTTAAAAAATAAGTAGCCAATCAGATTTAGGAATTAACTCGTTACTATGGAAATATGCAATTTAACGCCTTTTAAATTTAACAAGTTTTTACAAGTTTAATAGGGGCAAAATCAGTCTTATCTTAGCAAGTGACTAGGTTTAACCCACGGTTGTAGAATAGATAGGTTGATACACTAGCATACATTTGCATATCCCTGGTCAGCGACGCCAATTGCCGATCGCGTCGCCTGGTTTTTGACGTTTTAGGGACACAGAACTCTATAGGCATCTGTCTAGAACCGATGTAATTAATAAAAGAAATCGTATTTATCGACTCCGATCAAATGTCATTTACAAATTTTGTATTGTTCATAAAGCAATGTAAACGAAAATCCCTAAAATAACTAGAACGATTTCCGCTCGACAAGGTAGAGGCGCTAGCTGTCTGTGTCCTTTCCATGGATATAGGGATCGAAAAAAAGCGTCGCCATCCCAAGCCATTAGTGTACAAACCTATCTATTCTACAACCGTGGTTTAACCCTTGCAAGTACTAAGTTTGACTTTTTCCTAGGGAGTCTTATAAGCAAGCAATAGCCCCAGCCACCCATTCCCTCTTCATTCTAGTTTACTAATCTTACTCAATAAGGGTACTTGTTTTTATTTATTATAATAATTAAATCTCCTGAAGGTAAATTAAAGGTTTCACTCCCGGAGAGGTTATATAGTGATCATAAAGAATCTTGAAACTCTCATTTTTAAATGACAACAAAATTATTCTTAATAATTTAGTTTCTCGGGGAAACCAATAAATATTTTTTTAAATTACACCTGAACGTGCTCGCTGCGCTCGCATTCTGAAAGTAATTTTTTAGTTAATTCAGAGTCGTAAAAACATTTACGAATGAACGGTCAACAAGGCTACATAGTTTTTATTGTTACGGTTTTCAAGATCTCCTTGTGAAAATAAATTATTCAGAAAAAAACGATTGTCTAAAATGCGAGCGTAGCGAGCACGTTCAGGATATTTCAGTCCCAGGGGCATTATATTTAGTGATCACAAATAATTTTTAAGCAAACATTTTTAAATAACAACAAAATTGTTCTTAATAATTTAGCGTCTCAGGGACACTACTTAGTAAGTTTTTTAATTACACCTGAACGTGCTCGCTGCGCTCGCATTCTGACGATTCTTTTTTAATTAATTTATCATAATTTCAAAAAATTCGCTATACGTATACGCTATATATTTTTGCAATCAGCAGGTCGGATGTATATTCCTGAATTTTTTCAGAATTTTTAGACAACTTTTTCAAAAATGAAATTTTCCACAATGTATGAGTCGGTGAAATGTATGGAAATGGTTGAATATCTTCAAAACCAATTGTACAAATCACCTGAAATTAGATATAGGGGTACAAGAAATTATGCCCCAACGCAATTTGTCAAAACTACTACTTTCACAGAACCAGCAGCGTCGAGAACGAACTTCCTTTTGGGTTTTGTTAGCAATGCCTTGTTAATGTTTCCTTCAGATGTTACTGTTATTTTTTTTTTAATTATACGTACAAACACTGTTGTTTTCTTTTTATTTATTATTGTCAGTTCCAAAACTGGTGACTATCACCATAACAACTTGTTAGTGGTGCGTGGTGGTGCCTAACCCCAATAACAATACTAATGGTCCGCCACTGACTCGTCCATACTATTCGCCCATCTTTGCGCTTTGCGCATTCATCCCTCCTACTCGATGTACTTCTGATTTCAAATAAGCTCTAGTATAATAAAAAAATGAGATTAGCACCTTTTTTCTTTTTTTTTTAACCTCATACGTTCTATTAGTTCCCATTCTCACACTACAGAAGAACTAATAATTAACCCCGCCCACCCACCCACCCCGCCTCCATGTCAGTGATTGCTTTTATTTGGTCCAAATGAATGGTGGATCTTTACTGCATAGAAATACAATCGTTAGAATGAAAACAGCACTGGTGGGCGGGGCTAGTGCTTCATAAGATAAGGGTGTAGTGGTAAAGCCCACCCACCCCTATTTTGCTTTGAGCAGTCATTTTATTGGATTTGAGACAGAAGTTGAATTTTACATTGACCAATGACAATAATCTAGGATTACATTTTTTTTATAATATTTTATTTTTACTAAAGTTTTATAAAAAAATTTGTAAAACGACTTTGCCGTCGGCGTTTACAACTAAATAACAAACAAATAAATTGTGTGAAGTAGACAGAATGAGGTAAAATTGTAAACGCCGCCTCTCTTTTCCAGGCCAATGAAATGTTTTATTAAGGTGGAGCTTTTGCAAGTGGGAGGTGCATCGGTAATTTTGCTTTTTAGATATGATTCTCACGTCGGTATGCTTATTTAACACCAGCTTATACTTCCTAGATACTTAGTTTAATTATTTATTTATTTATTTTCTCATCAATGGTTTAACAAATTTGACTAAGATTCTGGTAAGATAATAACGTTGTCATTAATTAACAATAGAAAGAGTCATCACTAAAATGAAGAGAAGGTGGGTGGGCGGGGCTATTGCTTGCTTATAAAACACTCCTTAGGAAAAAGTAAAACTTAGCCCCGCCCACCCACCCATTCTCTTATTTTTTTCATGTGAAATAAGAAATAAAACTTATAGCAAATAGTAACTATAACAAAACAATTACGATTAGCACTTTTTTTTTTCTTTTTTTAACCTACGTTCTATTAGTTCGCATTCTCACTCTACAGAAGAACATATACTTAACCCCAACATTTCAGTGATTGCTTTTATCTGGTCCGAATGAACGGTTGATCTTTACTTAACAGAAATAAAATCGTTGGAATGAAAACAGGGCGGGTGAGCGGGGCTGGTACCTTCTAAGATAAGACTGATTTTGGTAAATACCATATCTTTGAAGGAAATAAAGGTGGGAGGGTGGGAGGGCGGAGCTAGTAATTAGTAAGATAAAAGTGTAGTAAATGATATGTCCTCTAAGAAAATAGAGGTCGGGTGGGGGCTAGTACTTGCCAAAATAAGACTAATTTTGGCGAATTACGTACATGGATTATTATTCCTAATACATTTCACCATTAGAATTCACCAATTTTAAATTATTTTAATTTTTGAAATTTTATATGCAATGTGTTTGATATTTGTAATGACAATTTATTGAATTGTAGTAGTTCGGAGTTACCAACAGAAACTATTTGTTTTCAACAAAACGGTGGTCCAACCCATTTTGGACGTCAAGTGCAACAGTACTTAAATGAAACTTTTCCTGGCAGATGGATAGGTCGAAAGGGTTATTAGGTTCAAATTTGTGATACCAAATTTTGTAGGGAGAATAATCAGGTGATTTTATTTAATTAGTAAAATGCTCCAGAAGCGAACAGAAACTGGGTCGAGTAAATAAAAACATCGTATATTTTGTAGTATAGAAAAGAGCAGAACAGAAGAAGTGTAAATATGTATTTATTTATGAATTATATGTAAATACTTTGTATATTTGGTTCTCAACATGGTACCATCACAGGTACCATGGTCACCATCGTTACTAACAAATCAAAAAGTAAGCCGAAGTCTGCCGAAGGTATTCACACATTGGGTGCGTCCAGTGTTGCCAATTTTACTTTTATAAAATTATATTTTCTCCGTAATCTACACCACAAAGAATTGTTTTATTATTTTTTTGGTACTCACGAAACCCCCGCACATAACATAATAAAGAGTGAATCCACCATTTTCCAGACACCCGGTATAATATTTTTTAAGGATGATTACAAAAAAAGAATTAAGCCATTTACTTTATTGACCAAATTAGTATGGCTCAATTGCCCGAAATCTTGAAAATATATTACTCTTATTATTACGATTACACTTTAATGGTGTCAGTACAAAATTTGTTACGAAAAACTCCCTTGAAACATCTCGTAACATGCTTCTTTATTTCTAGTTTAACAGACGACATCATGATCGACACATAAATGTTTGTTTTAACTCATAGGGATTATAATAATAATAAAAAAATGGTCAAAGGTTATATAGTCTGAACTTATCTCGCCTTTGAAATGTAATCCTACTTCTTTAAAAAAATATATAAAATTTGATTTTGCGATTTTCGTTTTGTGATAACCTCTGTAAACTAAAAACCAGCGGCATAAATAACACCCCCGCAGCCCCTGAGATTCTTGGAATTTGCTCTCCCAATTACGGACAATGTAATATATTTAAAGCACATAACTAACGGGATAAAATGTTCTCTCAGCACTAGGTAATAGCAAGCTGAACTTCCAGTGTTTATTTATGTTAATACATCGAAAGAATATCACGTAGAAATTAGTTTGATTTGATTTTGTCTTCTGTAGACAGTGTCTAGAAAAGTAAAAAGAAAAATAGTGTACTTAAATTTTATTTACACATGCAACTAAGTACATTAATTATCATTTCTTATTTATTTTCAGGGTACCTCTGAAAGAATGAGGTCAAAAATCCAATTAAACTTCATTTTTCTGCTTTGTTTTGTTTTTAAATCCACCATCTATGGGTATGTGCCCATTGTTATGAACACCTGGAACTTTACCCAAGCAACAGAACAAGGTAAGACCTGACACTTATAATAACTAAAACGTAGGAGTCGCGACTAATAACACCTCTGGCTGGTCGGAGAAAAATTACACCTCCACACCAGTTGGTTGATGCCTTGTACGGAACGGTGCTCGGGCACCAACCTGCTGGTCTCCAAGAAAGTGCTGGAGTCACTCTTGTCAGAGACTCTTGTCACCAGGTACGCAAGCTAGTAAAAGAAAAACTAACAAAATAAGGGATAGATCTCCACTAGAATAAACAGGTACGCGAGAAGAGGGCAAACCTACGGCCTCACGGAAGGTGGAGATTAGATATAACTTTATGTATATATTTCTATATGGTAGATTTATTTACTCACTTTTATTTTTGTATAGTATGGTCAGCGATGCAGCAAACTTCCATTAGTGCAATCGACGCGGTCAGTCTTGCAGGAACAACCTGTGAAGACTATCAGTGCGATAATACAGTTGGTTATGGTGGAAGTCCGGACGAAAATGGAGAAACAACTTTAGATGCCATGATTTTCGATGGGTACTTCAATACAGAAATGTTTTTTCTATAGAAATGAAACATTTTTGTTTGTAGTGCCACAATTAATATGGGTGCAGTCGGTGGAATAAGAAGGATTAAGAGTGCTATCAAAGTTGCTCGTCATGTCTTAGAAAACACAAAGCACTCATTTCTTGTGGGTGATTTAGCTACTGAGTTTGCTAAAGGTTTTAATTTTGACGAAGAGTCTCTATCAACAAATTATTCTGTTCAATTGTGGAAAGACTGGAAATCGAATAATTGCCAACCAAACTTTTGGCAGGTCTGTTTTTTATAATAATTATTATACATAAATTATAGAAGTTATGTATCTACCAGACACTTTTTTTTATTCAAGAACGTAGAACCAAATCCAACTACGTCATGTGGACCTTATCATGTCGCAGATATTTCAAATGAAATAGACTCCAAAGAATGGCAACATTTTGCATCAGATAACCATGACACAATAGGTGTAATAGCAATTGATCAAAATGGTAACGTCGCTGCCGGAACATCAACAAATGGAGCTAATCATAAAATTCCTGGGTAAATAAAAAAAAAGTAGATAATATTGACTCTAGAAAATAACATCAAAAACTATCCTCCTCACAGGCGAGTTGGTGATTCGCCTATACCAGGTGCAGGGGCTTACGCTGACAATGAAGTTGGGGCAGCCGTTGCCACTGGAGATGGTGATATTATGATGAGATTTCTGCCTAGGTTTGTGTTAATTTTTGCAGTATATATTTTATATTTTTGATTAGTTTTTTAGCTGTTGAAGAAATGAGAAGAGGAGCTTCACCTACGAAAGCTGCCAAAATAGCAATTGACAGAATAACGCAAAAATATCCAGATTTCTTTGGGGCCGTTTTAGTTGCAACAAACAAAGGAGATTTTGGGGCCGCCTGTAACGGAATGGATTCGTTTCCGTTCTGCGTGGCAAGTGAGGAGCTTGGTGGTGTCGTTATTAAAAACGTTGACTGTGAATCATAAAGATAAGAAAAATATGTTAATAAAGTTTGAATTGGATTAATGAATGTAATACAACTTTCAAAAATAAATGCCAGTTTGACAATTTATAAATTACTCACAGACAAAATTTAGTGACAAAGTGGATCGCAATAGTAATCTACAGTCGTTAGTGGCGACTTATGTGTTTACTCCCACTTTATCGAAAGATCGTACTTTCGCGCCATTTTGGCGGAACCAACCAGTGGACGGAAACAGGTACTTTCCGGACAAAAGCCCCGTCGAACGCTGAATTATAGCGTAACACCTTGCCAAAATTAAAAGAATTCTAGGGTACACCCGTGTTTTAAACCTATTTGAACATTCATTTAACGTATAAGTGAACGCCGCTTCTATATAATAAACAGTATGTCCCAGGATTGAGTTTACAATAAGAAAAAAAAAAATGATTTGTGATTTTTGCTTCGCTTAATGTAACAAATAATTCTGCGAGTAAAACTACAGAAGTATACAAATCTGTTTAAATAAACAACAAATCGATACAAACTGATTTATTTTAAAAAGTCTACATTGTTTAAAAAATTTTGTAGATGAAATACTTGCTTTAAGTTAAGCCAAAATGTTTGTTCTTTTGACTTTTTTTGAAAAATAAATAAAAAGATCGTCCTGTAAATCTCGTAATTCTAATTTCTTTGAATGAATTACATGATTAGTTATTAATAATTTCATTTTTATCGGAATTTTAGAATGTCAATTAACTTCACATCCACATTAAAACTTATTAGAAATACGAAATTCATTCTTTAATTTTGAAGTTTAATATTTTCAAAAAAATTGTTTCAGGGATTTTTTTAACCATTTTTTTCGAGTTCTACAAAGCCTTCTTAACACCATACAGTCACTATAGAAAACTAGACCACAGATTTTGACATACACTTCAAAATTTTGAATTTTTGTCGCTGCTCACTGTCCTAAACATACAGTGGCGATCAAAATAAAGTGGGACACTCTTCTTTTTTTAGTGTAATTTTCAAATTTGATTGACGTTTAATTGTCATTGTTAATGAATACCACAGATATCTTACTAGAATAAACTATCGATGATAAATACCTATTCAATGTAGTCCAGTTTACAAAACTAATTTTTTTGAAAAAATTCTTTCAAGATGTGTCCCACTGTACTTTGGCCGCCACTGGAACTTGAAACTTTCTGAATGTCAAAGTGGTCGAATTTTTGTTTGAATCACCTGTATTATATTTTGAAATTTTAGAAACTCACTGTTAATCAGCTCCATTGAGCGACTGCTTGCTTTCATATTTTTTACTTCCCGACCGTAAACTAGGGAAGTACCTATTGCAATCAAGTCCATCAGGTGACTGGCTTCTTTCATATTTTCTCGACGTTTCATGCCCCTAGAACACGAAAAAATAAGTCTCCCGTTTCTGTCTGTCTGTCTGCCGTCTGTTCGAATTTTTAATAGACAACTGTTACACCGATCATTGTCAAAGATATTTATATGTGGATTAGAAATATCGTGTAGATGATAAAACGCTAATCAAAATTTGGCTAATCATCCCCACTAATAATGTGATGACGTCATCTCCCAAATTTACATTAGTAAATGTTATTTAAATTTTATAAAATAAGCTAGTCCTGCGCTTGTGATTTATGAATAAGTGTTGAGTTTTTACCCCAAACATCCAAATTTAAAAAAAAAACAAAACAAAATTGTATAAAACATTTTCCAATTTAACTTCGAGACTGCAAAAGCGAATGCTCTGAAATCTTGCAAACGCTTTAAAGTTGTCGTAAGGATGGTAAATCGTGAATCAAAATTTATTCGTTCGTGAAGTCCCATTTCACGATTTTTCGATTTTCAGATTTCCAATGCTTCAATTTTTCGATTTTTCCACTTTTCGATTTCTTGATTTTTCAATTTTTCGATATTCTGATTTTTCTGTTTCTGTTTTGGGATTTTTCAATTTTTCGATTCATCGATTGGTCAATTTTTCGATACTTGAGCTTTGGAATTTTTCAATTATTCATTTTTTTCAGGTTTTAATTCCTTTAATTTTAGACTTTTCGATCTCTCGATTTCCCGTTTTTCGATTTTTTTAATTTTGTTATTTTTTAAATTTTACAGTTTTAGATTTTTCAATTACTTAATTTTACCAATTTTTCGATATTTTTAAATTTGAGTTTTTCAATTTTTCAATTTCTCGATTTTGGACTATTTCGATTTCTCTACCTTTCGATTTCAAGATCTCTTTTCCAATTGTTCGATATTTCTATTTTTCGATTTCTCGGTTTTTTCGGTTTTTTGATTTTCCATTTTTTTGATGTTTCTATTTTTCCATGTTTCGATTTTCCAGTTTTTCTACGTTTCAGTTTTGAGATTTATTAATTTCTCGATTTTTTCAATTTTTCGACTTTTTAAATTTAGATTTTTCGATATCTTCGAATTTTTTAAACTGTAAATTTGACGATTTTTCAATTTTCCAACTTTTTAATATTTCAATTTTTCGACTTACGAATTTTCTATTTCTCAACTTCTCGGTTTTTTAATGTCTAAAGTTTTTCGATTTGTCGATTGTTCAAATTTTTGATTTTTCAACTTTCCAACATTTCAATTTTGGAAAATTTTCCAAATCTGGATTTTTCAATTTTTCGATATTTTCATTTTAGATTTTTCGGCTTGTCGATTTCTCGACCTCTCGACTTTCGCTTTCTCGATTTCTCAATATTTTGATGTTTCAATTTTTCGCTGTTTGGATTTTTCGATTTTAGGATTTTTCGAGTTTTCGGCTTTTCGATTTTTCAATTTTAATTTTCGAAATTTTGATTTCTGATTTTTTGAATTTTCGATTTTTCAATTTTTCCATTGGTCATTTTTTAGACATTTCAATTTTTTGTTTTCCTAGCTTTCGCTATTCGAATTTTCAATTTTTTTTACTTTTCGTTTTTGAGTTTTTCCCTTCTTTAGTTTTTTTTTTTTCAATTATGTATTTAAATTTTTTTGAAATCTCAGGTTTTCGATTTTCGATACATACTCGAATTTTCAGTCTTTCTACTTTTTTTTTCGAATTTTAGATTTTTCAATTTTTACATTCTTGAGTTTTTCGATTTTTCATTTGTTTTTATTTTCCGATTTTTTTATTTCTTGGGTTCTTGATTTTTTTGTTTTTCCGGAAGATTTTTCAATTTTTTCAATTTTCTAACTTTCAATTTTTTGATATTCCGATTTTTCGAATTTTTGATTTTTCGATTTTCCATTTTTCCATTTATCGATTTTCGATTTTTCGGAGTCGTTATTTACGCCACTAGTTTTTACTTTATTGATGTAAAATTGCAAAATCAAATTTTAGAATTTTTCAGAGAAGCGTGATTTATTAATAAACAAAAGTTTGAAGAAAATAATAATAGCATTTTGTAAAAATCACGTGTTTTTGTTTTATAATTTACGTATTACTGGTTGCATAAGATCGAGGTAAATATAACTATCAAGTTTAACTTTTCACACGTTAATTAACAGTTTATTAAATACTTAAATTGTAAAATTCTGGTGAAACAAACATTAATAAACACATCATATTTTTAATAGCGTGTTTCAATTGCTTGCTCGCATAGGGATTTTTTTGTTGAACGAACACTTCAGGTCGCCATAAGAGTTAGTGAAATAGAAAAAAAAATGTCACCATAGGCTGTCACTTTCTGTTATCATGGGTTGTTTTACAGCTGTCAAAATGCAATAATGGGGATGTTTAGCGACTGTAAAGTATTGTTTTTGGACGTTTTTAACACAAACGTGATGGATTAGCAAATAAAATATGGTAAGAATAAACACGCGAGAATACATTGTTGCTAAACGTAACGAAATTATATGTTTATTAGCAGTTAACCACAATTTTATTAATGTCAGTGTCTCTGTGTGTCATAATTATTTTATTAAGTTAATACGTTTAATTCCATCTTGATCAATTTTCAGGGTGCGAATATTTCCCAGCTGGAACGAGATATAGGCTCTGAACAATTTCCTTCAAATGAACATTACTTCGGTTTAGTGAATGTAAGTTATGCTAAGTCAATCCTCTGGTGATTTCAAAGTAATACATATTTTCTTTTACGTTACAGTTTGGTAACACTTGTTATAGCAACTCTGTCCTGCAGGCTCTATATTTTTGTAAGCCCTTTAGAGATAGAGTATTAGAGTATAAAGCAAAGAATAAGAGGACGAAAGAAACTTTGCTTACATGCCTTGCAGATCTGTTTCACAGTATTGCCACACAAAAAAAGAAAGTAGGCTCTATTGCACCAAAAAAATTTATAGCAAGGCTACGAAAAGAAAAAGGTTTGTTAGATTTCTTCTCTTAATTTAAAACGCAGTTTTATTTTTTTAGAGGAATTTGATAATTACATGCAGCAAGATGCACATGAGTTTTTAAATTTTTTAATTAATCACATTAGCGAAATTATTTTGGGTATGTTTCTCCATAATTATTGTTTTCATGCATTTTTACTTACTTTGTCACATTACAGCCGAAAGACAACAAAACTCAACCACAAATAACGTTAAATCAAAAGGGGCAGGGGAGAATGGCACAGCACATGCACCTCCTGAACCAACATGGGTACATGAAATTTTTCAGGTATGGCGAATTATTCATACAACCTATTTTACTCAACTTTACCAATTTAGGGTATATTGACAAGTGAAACTAGGTGTTTGAACTGTGAAAATGTGAGCAGCAAAGATGAAGACTTTTTTGATTTACAAGTGGACATCGAACAGAACACTAGTATAACTCATTGTTTGAGGTGTTTTAGTAATACAGAGACTCTGTGTAGCGATAATAAATTTAAGTGTGATAACTGCAGTAGTTACCAGGAAGCACAGAAACGAATGCGAGTGAAGAAACTTCCGATGATATTAGCGCTGCACCTGAAAAGATTCAAGTACATGGAGCAGTACAACAGGCACATCAAAGTTTCTCACCGTGTTGTGTTTCCTTTAGAACTGAGATTATTTAATACGGTAAGTTGTTTCAATTTAGTATGTAAGAAATTAAAGTGCAGTGTTTTTTTTGTTATTAAAATGCTGAATACTTTTACTTCTTAAAAAAAGTGATCTAAGTCTATTTAGACAGTATTTCCCTCTCTGACAGTGAGACAAATTTTTGTTTTTATATTATAAACTTAAATTGCTGTATTTATTAATTGAAGTGTAAATGTACAATTTGTTTTAAATATCTAGAAACATTTTGAGATGACGTCATTAAATTTTTGAAGGGGATAAATATTGATTAGCAGTTTATCATGCCTATGATAATCTTGAAATGTTTGCAAGATTTCAAATCAATTGGTTCGTTTTTTCCCAAAAAAAATTCGTCTCAAGTTATTGAGATAGGATTTCCCTGGCCCCTGAAGTACAGTCAATCAAAACCAGTTTCTTACGTAAATTGTAAAATTTGAGTGGCCATCCAATGAACTGGCCAACAGTCTACCAGACAGACATAAACGGAGTGTCAGTTTTTTCATACTGTAGGGGTTATGAAACGTCAAGATAATGCAGTTATACATTCACCAAATGTATCCTATTATTGATCAGATTTTAGACTTGATCTTAAAGATTTTTTTTTGGAGAATTGATGACAAACTATTAAAAAATACCAACATTTTTTATTAATCTTCACCAAAAATTTTACATCATCTCCAAATTTTGCAATTGAAATATCACAAAAAATGACATTTTAAAGTTTGTTTTAGAATCAAACTATGTTGAAGTTATGACAACATACTAACATTAATTTTTTAGAAATAATTACATACTTGGATAATTTTTAAATAAATCCACTAACCGTACCGTACTAACATGCACGCAAAGTGTTCCCACCTCCTTTGAAAACAAGTCCCATGATATTAACAATGACTAAAATTTGTGTATTCATATCTTTAGAAATGACACTATCATTTAAAGATGTATAAAATGAATATTTGTTTAAAAAACTGTTTGTACATATTCAGATTATTTAGAACTGCTTACACACGATGTCTAAAAAAATATGAATGAATGAACAAAGCAGTTAATATTATAGATTAAGTCAAAAATGAATTATCTAGTTTTTGTACCTCCCAAAATTCGTGTATTAGACCTCATTAATTAATTAAATTTTATTAAGAAAATCTCATTTAAAATATGGAGCAATTCATACTTTTTTGTTTGTGGCTGTGGTATAATCCATTCGTATTTTTATCTTAACACAGATCATAAATAAATCAATTATTTTGCAATTTATCTAACAAAGGAACGCCATGAATTGTACATGCTGTTTTTTTGTGTGTGATAGTATGCAAAATCGATTTCATAGAACGAACAAACTACTAGGGACCGTAATCAGCCGTCACTTTTGCCTTATGCCGTTTTACTCAGAAATCGTTTGATTGGTCTAAATTATTGATACTTTTGTTTATGTTTCAGTTTTTAGTTAAACTTAATATCACGTTTTTAGTGTTTACCTTGACGTCCATTTATCATAAAACATCAACAATTTGAATCAAACACGCAATTTTCGTAGACGCAAAAACGCGTCTGTTAGCAAGGGGTTTTCTTTTTTTTACGCAATCCAATTTTCATACTTTCAAAAAAAACTCGCGAAGTTTTCTTGTAAGAAACTAGAATTGTTTAAAATAAGTGCTAATGTTTTCTGTAATTTCAAAACATTAACATTAATTTTGTATTCATCCCTTCTAAAAAAAAAAAAAAATGATAGCAATGCTCCTTTACTTCCGCAGGTTGTTAGAATTTATATTTTGCATTGTTTTTCCTAATGTACAAAGTCTCCCTTCACAACAAAAACTGAAAACATGTTTAAAATGGTAAATTTCCGATTTTCGATTTTTCCATTCTTCAGTTATTCGACTTTTATTTTCTTTTAATTTTTAGCTTTTTCGTTTCTCGAGGTTTTTTTTTCGATTTTTGGAATTTCCAATTTTCGATTTGATCATTTGTCGAAATGCAAATTTTCAATATTTTACTTATCGCTTTCTCAATTTCTCGATTTTTCAAATTTTCGTTTTTCCGATTTTCCGATGTAATTCTTGTAGAAAATTACGGATTTTGCAATTAAGCTTTTTCCCCCTTGGTTCACGATGAACAAAGAAAAATTGTTACAAATGAGATAGGGTGGGTGGGTGGGTTTTATAATTTTATCGCCCACACCACTCTACAAATGTATCCTTTTAAACATATTCTCAATTTATTGTCGTGAAATGAAAATTATGTACACATTCTACTCATGTTAAAAAAAGGAAGCATAATATGAACCCCGCCCACCCGCCCCTTACTCAATTGTGACAACTGTTTTTATTCTTTGTGAGCTGAGAGGCGGAGCTTAATTGCAAAATCCTTATTTCTCCACAAGAAACTACCATCTGAAACATGTTTTTAAGTAATGTTGTTGAAAGAAAACTGTGTATCAAGAAAAAAAAATCAAAACTTAAGCCCCACCCGCCCACCCCAATCTCAAATGTGATAAACTTTTCATTCGTTCTCAAACCAAGGGACAGAGCTTAATTGTGAAATCGATGTTTTCCAAAACAAAAATTTACTAAGTATTTTAAACGTTCTAAATATCTTAGCGTGAAAAAATTATTATATACATATATGTAGAAAAAAGGCAAAACCTATCGCCCTCTCAATTGTAATGATGTTATTCCTTATTAGCTCGGGGGCGGAGTTTAATTGCAAAATCCTTATTTATCTACAAAAACTTATCGTCTAAAATATGTTTTTAATTATGGTGTTAAAAGAAACCTGCATATATTTAGAAAAAAAAAATGGAAATCCCCTCCCCGCCCGACCTTACCTCAGTTGTGATGAATTTTTCACCAAAATATGTTTTAAGTATTATCATATTGTTCATTTTGAAAAAAAGGAGACTGTGTAACCCTCTCGCCTCTACTATGTTAACATTAACAAAAGATGTTTCACATGGTATTTTTTTCTAGAGAAAGAAAGATTTTGCAGTTACGCTCCGCCCACTGGGCTCACGACGAATAAAAAAAATCAATACAATTGAGATAGGATGGGTGGGTGGGGCTTATACTTTTTTTTCTTAATATACATAATCTTCATTTCGCAACAAAAAACTGAAAACATGTTTTCAATTTCTTGTCGTGAAAAGAAAACTATGTACACATATTAAAAAAAAGAAAGCATAATACCAAAACCCGCTCACCCGCCCCTCTCTCTATTGTGATAAGTGAATCCAGAGACACTTAATTGCAAAATCCTTATTTCTTTACAAGAAACTACCATATGAAACATGTTTTTAAGTATCATGTTGAAAGAAAATTTATATATGTCAAGCAAAAAGAAGTCAAAAATTAATCTCAATTGTGATGAATTTTTCATTCGTTGTTAGACCGAGGGGTGGAGCTTAATTATAAAACAGATGTTTCCCAAAACAAAAATTTACCATTGTAAACGTTTTAAATATCTTGGCGTGAAAAGACCATTAATTCATTACATATATCTAGAGAAAAGGCAAAATTTAAGCTCCGCCTACCCACCTCTATCTCAGTTGTAATGATGTTATTTCCTATGAACCCGGGGGCGGAGTTTAATTGTAAACTCCTTATTTCTCTAGACCGTATCGTCTAAAACATTTTTTTAAGTATAGTATTGAAAGAAACTTGTATATATTTAGAAAAAAAAAGCAAATAGAAAGCCCGACCCACCCACCATTATCTCAGTTGTGATGAATTTTTCATCAAAACATGTTTTAAGTATGATCATATTATTCAAAATAGATCATTTTGAGAAAAAGTAGACTGTGTAACCCTCTCTCCCCAACTATGTTAACATTAACAAAAGATGTTTCACTTGGTAATTTTTTCTAGAGAAACAAAGATTTTGCAGTGAAGTTCCTGAACGTGTTATAATTTATTTAAGAAACTGGATTTATTGATTATAGTTCAGGGGCGAAACGTAAAATCAAGAGAAATTTCTTCAAATGTTGCTAAAATATTTAGATTTCGGTAAAAGTCCTGCATTAACCTTAACCATACTTAACTACTTTGAAGTCGTCAACATTTGGGAGGAGGTGAACAATTCTTGTTTCTGTTCTGTAATTATTAAATGGTTTAACATATTTTTTAAATCAATTTTAAGATAAATGGCATGTAGTGATGTTTTCAAACCTTGCAAAGCTTTTAAGGTTGTCGTGAGCATGGTAAATTGTTAATCAAAATTTATCTGTTTATCCCCCCTCCAATACTTGATGACGTGTCCCAAAATTTTGCTGAATAAATCCTATCTAAAATATGAAAAATATTAATAATAATAATAATAATTTGCACGTGTGGTTTATCAGTGCATTCATATTTTTTAGGACTGCTTATAGAATGACTCAAGAAAAAATGAATCATTTATTTTATTGATCAAATTAGGAATGGCTCATTCCATTTTCCCGAAATTTTGGAAATTCAGCAATGTTGTTATTATTACCTACTGATATCTTGTACATATCCAAGTTGAAAAGGAAAACACTAACTTTTTTTTTTTAATCTGAAACCTTCTCGAGTGCTCTAAACCTATTTTTTTTTTTAAGAATATGAAACCTCGAGAGACCCAACTGTATTTTTTTTTTTATTTGAAACCTCCCCGGGGGCCCCAACTGTCTTTTTTTAAGAATGTGAAACATTCTCATGGAGTATGTTATATTGTACAATTTAAATAACATTTACTATGTAAAATTTGGAGGTTACGTCATCACATTTTGGTTAGCGTTTTACCATCTACACAATATCCCCAAGTATGTGAACCTTTTATAAGTTTAGTTTATGTTTTGGAAATATAAATATCCACATGTTAACGTTGCGTTGGTTTGAAATTTTTTTTAATAACTCAAAAATTTTCATTTTATCAATTCTGGAAAAGTTGGAAGAATTTTTGAAGAAATGAAGCCTAAAATAGCTTCTACAAATCGAAATCCACGTGAAACATTTTCAAATGATGCTCAAAAACAGTCAAAAAATTCATACGGGTATTGAAGAATTGAGATTTTTGAAAAATTAACAAAAAATCTGGGAAATATTTTTCGAAGAACTGATTCGAAAAACATACTTATTTTCCGGACCAAGATTTTCGAATAATTCGGTTAAAATTTGCTTTTTTTAATGTTTGAAAACTCCAAAAAATGCATTGAAAAGTTGCCTAAAAATCCTGAAAAAATTTCTGGGAAATACATTTCGACGAGGTGACCCGAAATCGAAAAACACCACGTGGTAATGATCCCGGACCAATATTTATCAAAAATTTTATAAAATTTGATTCAAAAATATATTTTTTTTAAATCTCAAAAATTGAGATTTTTGAAAACTTGACTAAAAATTCTACAAACATTCTGGGGCACTCATTTCGACCTACTCATTCAAAAACATAACGTGTTGATGGTTCTGCACCAAAATTTTCTAGAAATTCAGTTTGAAAATAACATTTTTCAAATACGTATCTTGTACATTGTCATTTTTCATTTTATCGATTATCGAAAAATTCTTGGAATTTTTGAAGAAATGAAGCCGAAAGTAACTTCTACCAGTTGATATCAACAAGAAAATGTCTTTGAGAAATTTCCAATTCATGCTGGAAAAACAAAACATTTAAATGTGGAGAATATTGAAAATCTGAGATTTTTGAAAAGCTGCTTAAAAATTTTCGGATATAAATCTCGACGAGCTTCTTCGAAAAACAGAAAATTTTAAGGACACCGAACCAAAATTTTCGAAAAATTTGGTTGTTAATGATTTTTTTTGCCTGGAAAATTGTTATTGTTTCATTTTATCGATTCTGGAAAAATTGTTGGAATTTTCGAAGAAATGGAACCGAAAATAACTTCTACAAATCGAAATCCACAAAAACAAAACGTCCTTGGGTAATACTAGAAGTGTTCCAAGGACAAAAACGGTCTTTTCATTATTTTTTCCATACTTTCAGAGATTATCTTAATTATCGTAGCCAGTACTTGCTTACTCGCTCCATATTTTCTCAGAGGATATGTTACTTGCCAAAATCAGTCTTATCTAATCAAGAACTAGCCCCGCCCACCCACCCCCTATTTTCTCGAAAGTTTATGTCATTTGCCAAAATAAGTTTTACCTTTGCAAGTACTAGCCCTGCCCACTTGCCACCTATTTTCTCACAGGATATGTCATTTGCTAAAATTAGTCTTATCTCACCAAGTACTAGCAGCTGCTAAGTTAGCTACTAGCTTAGAGGATGTCATCTGCCAAAATCAGTTTTATCTTAGCAGGTACTAGCCCCGCCCACCCACCTTCTCTTTTCTTAGAAGATATCTCATTTACCAAAGTCAGTCTTATCTTAGAATCAGCTAACAACGATCGGAAAATGGAGAAATTGCAAAATCGGAAAACTTAAAAAAAATTTAAAAACTCAAAAATGGGTGCTCAGTCAACACAATATAAAAAAACGCGGCGAAAGCAATTAAAAATTAATTAGTTAAGAAAACTTTGAATATAAAAATTATGTATCCCCACCAAAAAGTTGATGAGCTTATCGCGAAATTTTGTTATGAAAAACTCACTTGAACGTTGAAACATACGCACAACATGCTTCTTTACCTGTAGTGTAAATTTCGCAAAATCAAATTTTATATTTTTTTAAGAAATTGGATTTGTTTTATTGTTTCTTGACGGGTGAGAAAAGTTCTGTTTAAATAATTTTAGACCAGTTTTTCAATATACTCCAGTTCATTTGGATGTTAAAACAGGATTTATTGATTTGATGAAAAAAAAAAATTCTTCAATATTTATTCACACGTTATCAATTATTTGGGATGCTCTAGGAATTGAAGAGGTGCGATTTTTTTTCTTTGTTTCTTTTGTAGAAAAACCATCACAATACAGCCAGAAAATGAAAAAATGTCCACATGTTATACATTTTCTTTGAGTAGTATTATTTTATTTTATCGCCTGCTTATTGTATTTGAAATAATTGTTGGTTGTGTTTTCAGTCTGATGATGCAGTTAATCCCGATAGACTTTACGACTTAGTAGCTGTTGTGATACACTGTGGAAGTGGGCCTAATAGGGGCCATTACATCAGTATAGTGAAGAGTCACGGTTTTTGGCTACTTTTCGACGACGACCAAGTTGATGTAAGTGTATATAGCTGCATAGAATGACCCTTTTATTCCATAACAATTGCAGAAAATAGATGCTTCAACAATAGAAGATTTTTACGGCCTCACGTCTGACACTCAGAAGTCCTCAGAAACCGGTTACATACTTTTTTACCAGTCTCGAGAGAGCTTATGAATTCCGCTACTCCTTGCCTTAGTTATTGAGATGATGTGAGGGAAGTACAAAACGACCTTTCTTTGAATTGACGGGACGGGTAAAAATTAATCTGTGTACATAATTGAGCTGATTTTTTGTTGGACAAACGTTTTTATTTATTGTGTATATTTTATTTTCCGTACTTTTTTCACTTGAACGGGAATTATTTTTGTGATGCAAATATTGTTTTTTATACAATATAAAAATGTGTATTTACCCGTACTTGCAAGGGAATAACGAGTGAATCTTTGTTGTTTCACTGCAATGGAAACATCTGCTATTTGCGACTGCACTTTACACTTTAATGAAGTGCTCTAAATAAGCTCTATTAAAAAGAAATGTCTCTACTGTAGTGGATCAACATGTAAATAAATGACTGTACAGTGAATTTTACTTGTTTACTTAAAACACTTCTTTGTGGACCTCGTTTTTATAAGCAATAAGTATAAATTAAGAAATTAAAAAAATATATATTTGTTTTCCCTGTCAGCAAACTAGGTATTATATAATTTAAACGACGTAAATGAAAATGTAAGAATTATAGAATTTTCAATTGTTAAAGTGAAAGAAACTCTGTATGTTGTCTCTTTGGCTGTGTATCATAGAATAACGACCTAAAAAATAACTAAAGTTCATATAAATCGTTATTGTGATACAAAGTGAAAGGCTGTATCATGTTTTGTAGTTTGCTATTGGGAAGCAAGCACAATCTTCATGTTGTTTTATAGCGTAAAGAAGTAAAATTCATTTCCTTTTTTTCAAATTTTGTTAACAGATATACAGTTTTAAAAAATATTACGAAAATTTAGACTACTATGAAAGTGCTGCTAAGCAGATTTTATTTTTATTCTGTAAATATTCGTTAGATATAAATATATTGAAAGAAAAGCCTGTTTTAACATAACCCCATCAAAAGTCAGAATTAATATTACTTGTTTATTATGCAAAAACCATACATCTTATGCAATAAATTCATATGGAATAGGGGCTAACAGTTCAGCTGGAACTTTTCCACTGACGATATGTGCTGGTCGTGGCTGAGCTGGTTGCCTCTTCAATTCTACGCGCACATTCTTCTCTTTAGCCTCCTTGCGCAATTTTTCATTTTGCTTAACCCTCGTCAGGAAGTCTTGCCTGCATTTTGAATGATTCACATGCTCAATGCGAATGTTAATACGTTTTGGGATTATTCTGCCGCCTACTCGCTTGTTTACTATCACTCCCAAAGCGTGTGCTGTTACGTTGAACACGCGCCCAGTCTTTCCATGGTAGACTTTATAAGGCATACCTTTCTGCACTGCACCGTTGCCTTTTATGTCAACTATGTCTCCAACCTTGTACACTTTCATATACGTGGAAAGCGGTATAACGCCATGCTTCCGAAATTTCCTCGAAAACAGGTCGCGAGTTCCTCGGCGGTAGCCTTTCGAGTTTGTCATGTTTAATTCTGAAAAAGACAGGTTTGAGGTTAGAACATTAATTTTCTTCAGCGAGGTAACAAATAAAATTGAAGAAAAAAATTGAAGAGTAGGACTGTCGTAAACATATTTAAAATTATTGGATATTGTTAAATTTGTTAATTTTTTTGAAAGAAAATTGGTTGACTTACCAACAACACGAACACGCTATCAAAAAGGAAGAAGATGGCGACCATGCGACGAACTTGATATTTCCGGTTCTGTGCTCCTACGACGCGACATCTATCGATGCATTCTTAAGTATAGTTGAAAAGAAGTAATACTTTTATTTTAAATTTTCAGGGATACAGGCGAATAGTACAATAATAGTGTTGATAGTAAAATTTTGCATTTCGTTTTATTATAACATCAATCATTGTTCTCAAACACAACAATTATTAATTCCATTTTGACAATACATTTTTTGTCTCACGCAGGTACCAAAGTTATCGGCCGTGGTATTTTAGCGGTAAAATTTGAATTACATATTGCATGTTTTGACCGACGTAGACTACTTAACTTTTATAATTTCTGCGAGCACAAAATTAATTAAATATGTCCCGAATTCGTGAAACGGTAATCACAAACTGTGAAAGAAAGTTTTTGATGAAGTGTTTATCAGATTGGACTGCAAGTACAAGTAAATAAATCTAAAACTTTGGATTTAACATTTCATTTTTAGAGGTTAGATGGTCGTAGTTTTGATGAATTCAGACCCCTACGCGTAGAATTTGGTAAAGATTGGGGCAGTTGTTACGTCTCGTTAGGCAAAACACGGTAATTATAACCTTAAACCGATCGTCAGTTTATTGTTTGTGTAGTGTTTTAGCCCAAACGTCTTGCGAAATTCAGCAACCAAAGTCGTCAAGACCTAGTGAAGGAATTTTGAATATAAACATTGAATTGAATCCATTAGCCGCACCGCACTTTGAACCTGGTAGACAATCTGAGTTATCTGTGAGGCTGAATAGATTGTTAGAAAAATGTGTGAAAGACTCTAAAGCGGTTGATCTTGAATCATTGTGTATTAAAACAAACGAAAAAGTTTGGGCTTTAAGGGTTGATATAAATGTTATTAATCATGAAGGGAACATTTTGGATTGTGCATCTATTGCAATGTTGGCATCGTTGGCGCATTTTAGAAGGCCTGATGTTACTTGTGATGGAGAGGAGTTCATCATTCACAATTATCAACAAAGGGATCCCATTCCTACTGTGATTCATCATTACCCAGTGTGTATCACATACTCAATTTTTAATGGAGGGTAAGTGAATTTCATGAAGTTAAAAACATATTCTAATTTGTTATTGTAGAGAATTCGTAGTAGCAGATCCTTCATTAACTGAAGAAGGTTCAGCAGACGCCACATTAACAATAGGATTAAATGGTTTCAAAGAATTGTGTGGTCTTCATTTAGGTGGTAAAGCTGAATTGATGCCACATGTAATTCTCAATACAGTGACCAAAGCCACACATAGAGCAAATATAGTAATTGAGGAGATTAAAACATCTATAAAAATTGATAATGAAGCAAGGTAGGTTAATATGAGAAAAGTGAAATATTGTTCTTTTTAAATTTTTGTAGGACAAAAAAGTTACCATTAGGTTTTCACACTGAGAGAAAAGGTGGCGCAAATTCAGATGTGTCTGAAATTTCTTTACACCATTGGCAAGAAATCAAAAAGAGCAAGAAGAAAAAAAATAAACAAAAACCTGTTGAACCAACAGAGAGTCCACAAATTAAAGTTATTGGTGAAGGATTAGCAGTACATGTCCCACAGGAAAAACCTGATAGACAAGAATCTTGGATAGTCGATAGTAGTGATGATGATTTGATGATAGTGGAAAAGCCAAGAGGTAATAAAGCATATAATACCTGATATAGTTATTGACTGATTGATTATTGTCTTGTAGAACAAATACTTCTCCATGACAGTGACAGTGAAGAAGAAAACGTAATCATCCTGGATAGTAGTCAAAGAAATGACTAGGATTTTATAAACTTTTATTATGTAATTTACAAATGCAAATTTTCTCCTAAAATTAATTTTTCCAGAAAATAACTTACAATAAAATTCGATACTACTGAAGCTTTAAGTAGCGTCATTGTTAACACCATTCTTTTGGTCCAACTTATTGCTGTTTGTTTTTACAGTATATATAAAAAATGTCACAACTTCTTTTTCTTTCACTTGGATTGTTTTAAAATGTTTCATGAGTGTCTAAAACATTAAATTTTAAATGTGTTAAATTGTTTCAACACCACTTACGTCTGCCAGTTGTGCCTTATTCAAACCTGGCCTTGCTGAAACTTTGTAGTGTCTTTTGTACCTCCTCAAGGTGTTCACTCCTAGTTGGAATAAATCAACCTCTGGAACATCAGTGTCGGTTTCATTGCTATCATCCTCTGAATCTTTCCTCCTCCGCTTAGTTCTTGCACATTGGATGATCATTTTGTGGAAGTCGCAGATATAAATATGCTTTGCCTGGGCAAAAAACGTCGCATTTTTGCATCACGTAAAGTGGAAAGTTTTCGAGTACTTACTGAACTATCGATGACCAAATTTAACCTTCTCTGTGTCACTGTTTTCTGAATTCGTTTACTGTATGAAGCATTACCTGCAACTTTGTTGCAACGTTCACTATTATCTATCAAACAGCAGATTTGATCAGTGGGTCCTCTTGAATCTTCTTCTCCAGTACTGAATCCGTTCATTATTTGACTTACGTACGTTTTTATAAGGTTATCTTCTCATTTAAAGCAAACAACGCGAAATTACACATTTCTTTGTGGAAATACAACAAAGGCCACAAACTATGCAGATGTAAACGCTAATCATATGAAAACCCCTCCCGCATCAAAACGTTCTTCCTTGTCACCCAAATATCGTATGTCATATGGACTGCGTTTGTTTGTCCTCTCGCCGATCCGATCACTGACGTTTTCTTGCTTTGTTTGTCCTCAGTGACATCTGTGATTCGACGCAACAAGTCCGAAGCATCCGAAATGTGTGTTTATCTGGTTGCCTACATCACGTACTGCTGCATAGCGCTGATGCCATTTAGTTACATATGTATGTGTCGCCTTCAAGCTAAAAACAAGGGCCTTTACAGAATTTTAATATTTCAATGCGTTTTCAAGACCGTGGAGTTTTGTTTAGGAAAGGGAAACATTTTAATAGCAATTACGTAATGGACCATACTTTAGTTTTGTTTATTACATTATTATTATTATTAATCATGTTACGGATTACTCCAATTTACACAGATAAACTAAATAAATGTACAAAAGACTGAAACATATAAGTACTTATATCTAACTTATATCTAACCTAACACTGACTTAGACATAACTCATGTGCAAAATTAACGGCAATTATTGTTAAGAATAGAAAGGAATTCACGTCTGAATCTATGTTTTGAATTCTGGAAAAGATCAAACTTTTCTATGGATGCAAATTTGTTTCCAAGTTCCATTAGTCTATTAATTGGATTATTAAAAGCAAAATTTGTTTTTAACGAAGAATGGACTCTAAAAATGTTTACACTGCGTGTGTTACAAACCGAAGAATCGGGAACATAGAAATCCAATTGTGATAATATTTCAGGGCTAACAATATGAGCATTTATGACACCATGTAAAAGGCAACCATCCGACAGTATCCTCCTTGTATGCAAAGAAGGCAAGTTTATGAAATTGGTGATGATCTCGTATTGGCCTTTATGGTGGGGCCAATGCATTCAGAACTCCAAACATCTAAGAAACTTCTTTTGAATTCTTTCCAAATAATCATTATCCGTCTTATAAAAGAGAAACCATATTGGTGAACAATATTCCAAATGCGAACGTACGAGGGAACAGTAAAGTGTCTTTAAAGAGAACGTAGATAACATGTGACAGTGACGCTATACAAAACCCAACATGTTCATTGACTTTTTGAAAATATAATCGTAATGAGATTTATTAAAAGACAATTTTGAATCAAACACCACACCGAGGTCTTTTATTTCATTTACTACCTTCAAGACACTGTCATTTATTTTATAGGTATGTTGGTATAAATTTTTTACTTTACAGAATGTTATAACATAACATTTATCAGTATTTAAAAACAATTGATTCCGATCACACCAGTTATATAAGCTATTTAAATCAGACTGTAATTCCAACGCATCCTGAGGAGATTTAATAAGTTTAAAAATTTTCAAGTCATTGGCGTAAAGTAAAAAATTAGAATATTTGAAACAAAATTGTAGATCATTGACAAACAGCAAAAATAATATTGGACCACAGTGTGATTACCTGAGGTACACCAGAAGTAACTTCAAAACTGCGGGATATAAAATTGCCAATTCTGACTTGTTGACATCTGCCCGATAAAATCGAAAACAACCAATCTACAGTGGAACTGTTAAACCCTAGTTGACTCAGTTGAGAGATCAGAATGTGATGACCGACCCTATCAAAGGCTTTGGCGAAGTCGGTGTAAATGGAATCCACTTGAGACCTTACTTGAAATGAATTATTAAGAAACACGTAGTAAGACAATAAGTTTGTAAGAGAAGATTTACCTTTACAAAACCCATGTTGATGAGTAGATAAAATCAAAGAAGAAGACCATTGTAGTTGTTTCGCAATAATGTAATCTAAAATTTTGGGGATTACTGATTGGTTGCTCACCCCTCTATAATTTTCTACTTTGGTTCGTGCTCCCGATTTAAAAATCGGAGACACATAACTACACTTCCAAACATCAGGAACTTTGGATTCCATAAGGGATGATTCAAACAATAGGAACAGTGGAACAGCCAAAGTACAAATGCATTTTTTTAATAAGCATACTTGGAACACCGTCGGGGCCACAGGAATAAGAAGATTTAAGATTGCTAATATTTTGAAAAACATCCAATAATGTTACCTTTAATCCACTATCAAAGACTTTTAAATTAGGTGAATTATTATTTTGTAAATTTGTTGTGGGATCAGTAACATAGACTGTAGAAAAATATTCCGCAAACAGATTGGAAATATCTGCTCCATTGTCCGCTTTCTTATCTTTAAGTGACATGTAATTAGGAATCCCATTATCCTTGTTCTTATTACGAATATATTTCCAAAAATAATTTGGATTAGATGTAACACTAACATCAACTTGGGCAATGTACGAAGAATATAAATTTTCATTAAGGGTCTTGCAGCGAGATCGAATCGACTTGAAGTTAAGATAATCTACTAATTTGCTAGACAATTTATATTTAAAATGAGCGAGCCTTTTCTGGTAGCACAAATTTTTAAGATCCCTGTTAAACCATATCGGATAAGAACTCCCAAATTTAATCGTTTTCTTTGGAATATAGTAATTAATGCCTGTAAACAAAATGTCATAGAATATCGAGACTTTAGTATCAACATTTTTATTACTGAAACAAGACGTCCAGTCCACAGATGCCAAAAAATTATTAAGTGAGTGATAATCTCCATTACCAAAATCAAAAACATACTTCTCCAAGAGTAAGGGAGCATCTGCTATACAAGATACAGACCACATATAAGGAATATGATGAAAATTTACATTCGATAACAGATTCATAGCTTCACTAATTTCTATATCCTTAATATTAGAAAAGATTAGATCAAGAAAGACGCCTCTTTCATTTGGGATCATATTAATTTGGTTCATGTTTAAAAACGAATACAACCCACTGATTATATCAAAATTGCTCCGTGGCCCTGCACACGACATAAACATATTGTCATCAATCTTTATATTAGGTAAATTAAAATCCCCTGCAATAATATATTTGGACTCAGGGTATTTGTTAAAAATATTTTCTAAATCATCACAGTGGTTCTTATAAATAACTTCCGCAGAACCAGGAGGAATATAGACGCCTCCCACAATAAAGTTAAATTCCTTAATCTGAAGACGAAGGTAAATACTTTCTACTGATTGACCTATAAAGATAGTTGAGGAACATATATCTTTTTTTACAGCCACCAGTACACCACCACCTCTAACTTTACCACTAACACTAAAACTTCGATCAGCACGAAATATGTTAAAATTAGATAAACCTAGTTCTACATCGGAAACATCATATGTCAACCAAGATTCTATTAAGACCCACCACTGACCCGGAAATGACCGGCATTCAGGCAAGACTTCTATCATTACGAGTACTAAGACCAAGTAATGATATGCATTGATTAGATTAACAGAACAACTTTCGAGACTATAGAATTACAGCATACAAATTAGTCTGCTATTATTCTCTAATCTCACCCCATCCCCAAAAGTCTAGCGTAACTACCGATCATTTAACCGCGCATCACTTGGAAAGTGACCTACACTACTCTGATCTACTGGTGCTAATCTAATCTGACGGACATGATCAGACTGTTCAAGAAACTTACGAACAATATGACATATTCCTAACAAAACAGCTTTTTGAATTTTGATAATTATTGAATCATTCAAATGCAAAGACTTTAAATTCTCAACTAAGCTATTTGGAACTACACCTACATTAGAGATAACTAGGGATATAATTGAAATTTTTTTAAGATTCACCATGGATTTCATTTCTATCGATAATTGTAGATATTTTGAAATCTTGGTGTGGTATGTTTGAATAATGTTGTTTGTGTTAGGAACAGCAATGTCAATGAGAATGGCTTCGTTGGTGTGTTTTTTGATAAGTATGATGTCTGGTCTGTTAGCCGTAATGTTTAAGTCTGTAAGTATTGTGCGATCCCAGTATAATTTGTATTTGTTATTTTCAAGGAACGGAGATGGAATGTAAGTGTAATAGGGTGTCGTATCTTAGATTAAGTTCATAAGTCTTGCTAATTCTTTGTGGATGATTTTGGCGACGTTGTCGTGTCTAGCTTTGTAGTCAGTTTGTGCTAGGATGCTGCAGGAAGAGATTATGTGCTGGATCGTTTCAGGTTTTGCTTTGCATAGGCGACAGCAGTCGTTTCTTATGTTCGCATCTTTAATGATGTATTTTTTTTAATTCTTGGTGTTGATTACTTGGTCTTGAATAGCAAACACAAATCCTTCTGTTTCGGCATACAAACCTGATTTTTTTTAACCAAATCAATGACTTCTTCTTATTGACATGAGTTTCTTCTAAGTCTTTGTAGAATTTTCCATGTAGTTGTTTTTGTTTTAGCCCACTTATTATTTTATCTATTGTGTGGGGGGTGTGGATTTCTTCGGTGTTCGACAGATTTAAGGGTGTGTGGTTCAAATCTGCTCTTGTGATGGTGCGAAACATTTCATTTCTTTCCGTTCGTTTCAAGAAATACTTCTTCAAATCTGAGATTTGTCTCTGACATAAGTTTTCTAGGTTCTGGAAACCCCTTCCTCCATTCTGTCTTGGTAATGAGAATCTTTCAATCGACGATTTTGGATGATGCCTTCTATTATTATAACATCGTAAACACTCGTATTAACTCTATTTGAAAAGTCATGAATCTTAGTATTTAAACCACCAACATTGTGAAAATAAAAATTTATTCGTTTTTTGCTTGACTTCTACCTTCATTCCTCCGTGTAATCAATGCCATATTGTTCCTATAGGTCAGCGCAATGTCGTTCTCTCCACGCGATTTTCTTTCCTTAAATTTCTCAATTATGGAAGAATTTGATTGTCTTTGCCGTGTAGTCAAATCCGGGCGAAAGTGATTTTGTTTATTGGGATTTTTAATGTTAGATTTTAGTATACCCTTGGCCTCATCATTGTTCGAAAAAATCATCTTTAACGGACGTACCGCATTAGGTTTTGGAGGACCAATACGGAAAATTTTCTTTGGCTGTTGGAATGCCCCTAGAGGTTCCAAAATGGACGAAACACGAGTTAAATCGTCAATTACGCGTTCGTCTGCAGATTTAGCCAGTGACTCAGGGACATTGTATAAGAGAACATTCTTACTACGGTCATTTCGGTCATAAATCTCCAACACTACATCATTAATATCATAAGAGTCAGTCTTATTGGTAGAGGAAGTCTTAAGATGAATAATTTCAGATTGTATTTTTCGAACATTATCTTCAACATCAGAAATTCTGTTATTAATTTGCAATAATTTTTATTTACACCCAGTGCATTGATTGATGTATCGTGTACCAACAACAATGAAAAACTATGAATATGTTGTAAAGCATATGGATAAACTATAGTGTAATAACTAATAATAACAGTTGTCTATTATTATTGTATTCTCACATTGTGAAAATGGGATGTGCTGTTTCTTTTTTGAAGGAAAAAATAAATGGAAAGGTTCGTTCAACTTAGCCGTTTTGGAAAACGGCTAACTTACGAAGCGATGCATTATGTGGCTAAAGAACAGTGATGTTAAGCAATAATAATAATAATAATAAGCAAAATCTGGGTGGATTCACAAAACACAAGTGTGGGTGAATAATATTTTATGAAATTTAAAATTATATTTATTATACAAAATTTTGTGTCATCACTAAGGAGATGCAGTTTTAGGCCAGGCGCCTCCCACCATTTTCCGTCAGCAGCGTCCGCTGTTATTGCTTCGCTTCGCCCGTCGGTGCATGTTCGGTCATTATATGTATGTTAAATCTTGCATTTCGCCGCGCGACACTGAAGTGGCAATGATAATGAGGAGTGGGAGTTATAACCGCGTCCTTGAACTATTTTTGCATCTCTCTAGTCATCACGTTGTTGGTGGGGATGATTAGACAAAAGTCAGTTAACGCTTTACCGTCTACATGATAGTCTTAATATACATACAACATTTAGCAACAATCGGTCCAGTAGTTTCGGAGATTATCTTTCTAATAAAAATCCGGACAGATGGCAGACAGACAGACAGAGAGACAGAAACGAGAGACCTATTTCTTCGTACCCTTGGGCTCATGAAAGGTCGAGAAAACGCAAAAGTAGAGAGTTGACCGACGGACTCGATTACAATACTTCCTTCGCTACACTCGGGAAGTAAAAATGTCAGGTCATCAAAACAAACTGATATAAGCATTTTTTTTTGATGGCACTAATAATAATCGTAATATGTAGCCATTATCGTTGGCACTAGTGTCAAAGAGCACTAGTGTGAGGAGCTTACCGATTGTCGAAGTGTGAGTCGCCGCGTGGTTGTCTCCAGTGCGCCCCCGTCTTCAGCATCGCAGAGCACGAACCCGTGTCTCGTGACAGATAAGTCTAGTTTAGCTCTCTTCCCGGAAATAAGTACTTATTCTCCACGTCTTGAGTGGATCTGAGTAGATTCGTGAATTTGTTAATTTAGAACGGCCCCCCCGTTAAATTAAATATACTGTGATAATCCAAACACCCCGCCTTAGACTGATATGTAAACAAATTTTTAAATTGGCTTTGACTGTGGTCGTCTAACAAAATGGAACCCTACATTATTGTGTTTATTTTTGTGGCGGAATGTGTTCAAATGCAAAGTGGTGGGTGGACCCTAAGGTTGGAAAAGTACCGCTAAATAAAACACAAAATATATGGAGGACACACAATTATTTATTCCTCCATCTTGACAAAAAAAAAAAAAAGCTGCGACTAAGTTGGGCAGGTTGAAGACTTTTTACTTTCTGAATCAATGCAAATATTTGAATATCACAAGATTAATAAAAAAAAGAAAAATCTGAAGTAAAGTAACAGGATGCAAATACCACAGTAGATCAAATACATAAGATATTTTGGACGTGTGGCGGCAAATTTGAAATTATGGCAGTCAACGAGAGAACAAAGCTTGAAGCAAAAACTCTATGCAGCGGGGGCGCACAGCGTCAGCGGTACGAGAGCGCCTCCTCGTGAAGTTTACTGCTCCCAACCAGGGCCACATGACCCGTCGAGTATTGAAACACTCGCATCAACTGCGGCCTACTTCCATTCCCGCAAACAAGGTAGCTGGGTAAACGCCTAGTCCACAACAGAGGAAATCTGGGATTACGGGTAAACCTTCACGCAAAGTCAACCCGCCACTCCGTCTGCGCTCCACGCGCCCGGCGCGTTTATTACGGTTAGACTCAAAATTTTCTGAAAATAAACTAAATTTAATCTAGCTACCTTACCGCGTTTTCTCACCCACACCAAACAAAGCAACAGTAACTACCCACCCTCTCAGCTCAGTTGTTTTTTTCAGCGCGAAATTTTAATTCAAATTTGGACACCACAATACCATTTCGACTCTACAACTCTACACTGTAGTATTCAAACTTACTTAAGATTAAGTAACCTTTTGCATCGAATTTGACACCGTAGTTCACTATCTAGTAATTCCTTTTATTAATGTTATTTATTGTTAATTTTTATTTCATTTAATTCGTTCTAAATAAACCACTTTTAAGGGAATCGCCTTGTCGCGTTTGAGTGACCTTATTCCAACTCAGCCAGTGAAAAAAGAACTTTTGAACTCTTTTGACTTCCCGAACTTTGTCTCCTCTGACTTGGAACTCAGGAACTGGTAAAGTTGGAACTATTTGGTGTAGAGTATAAATTTCCTGTTAGAACTTTTAGAGACTTGTGTTTTTTTAGTAAAAAAATTAATTAGAATATGAGTTGAAGATACGAAGCTTAAGCCAAAAAGCCACCATGTGAGTAAAGTTAAAGCTCTAGATCCCAGATATTCGCTTGTTACAGAAACTGAAGCGGTAAATTCGTCCTTGTGTAGTCTAACGACGGTGATTATAGAGTTGGACGAGCAGGTGTCGTCTGATGACGTAAATTTTTGTAGGGTTAAGTCTCGCTTAGTTCATGTAACTCAGCGAATTGAACGTTTCCCTCCAAAACCTGCCGCGGATGGAGTGCAACAAATTGTAGAGGAAAAGAAGGAAACTTGGCTCGAAAATTATCTTGAATTAGAGTCAGATCTGTTAGAGAACGTGGCGGTTAGGACCAGAAACCTGTCTGGTAGGGCAACTAGTTTGCTTCAACTATGCATGAATGCGGTAAAAGGCGTACCGCTGCATGAAGAGGGAATATCTTATGATAGGAAAACCAATCTCATCTCTTTGCTAGAGCAAGTAAATGATCTTATGGTAGCTCGGAATGTTTGTTTTTTTTTGAATTGGCCTTCTCTGGTAACTTTGTTGAAGTCGGTGTTTTTGCTTTCTGATTATGATGACAAATTATGGTCAGAGATTTCCAATTTATGTTAAAACAATGAATACCCTTT